TTTTTTTTTTTTTTTTAAATGTCAGTTCAAGAAAAGGTCTAGATTCAGAGGCACCAGGTATTGGTGAAGGTTGGGTATGTGGGAAAACGCTGAAAACAGGATTGGTTGGCAGTTTATATATGAAGCATTTAGGTGTTTTAACCAAGAAAGAGATGAAAGACTTAGTCTCTGAAGAAATGGATTCTCTTGACCCAAGCACACCAGATTCCACAGAGGGTAAGGAAAAGGTACCATACTAAAAATGAATATATAGTGAAAGTTGGCAAACTAAATGCTTTGATCCCCAGCCACTTCTGTTTGCTTTGTCCGAGAACACTGGAGCTGGGTGTTTATTCCATTTTCAGCTAGAAACTAGATGAATCCCAAAAGATTCTGATTGGTTCCAGTGGAAGACCTGAAAGTTGAGGGTCTCTCCTCATTTATTAAAGTCTTTCCCCTGGTCACTCTGCAGGGAAGCTCACCAGTCAACAAGCCTACCATGTACCTGGCTAGCCAAGGATTACCAGAAATTTGAAGGAAGCCTCCATCATGAAAGAGAGATAGCAGAATGGCAAAAGGAAGAAAGAGAGAGAAGGGTAAAGGAAAAGAAGAAAGGGAAAGAACTAACTCTAGGAAAAGAGGGTTACTGAAGTAAACAGAAGATTATTAAAAATTTAAAAAAGAAAACATTGCATCCATGAAATAATGTGTCTAATTTTTTTTAAAAAATTAGTAAATGGAAAGAGTTCTTGGAAATTAATAGGAACAAATACAAAGTTAAAATAGAAGCAGTGTGTAATAAAGAGTAGGTAACATTTATTGAACTCTTATGTCAGGTTTAGTTCTAGGTGCTTTAACTCCTTCAATACACAGAACAACCTTACAGAGGTGAGAAAATTGAGACACCGAGAGTGGACATGCCAGGATTTAAGTCTCAGCAATTTTTTTGAGAAACAGAAAAGAGGAAGGTAAAGGACTTACCAAGCAAATAATATAAAAACATTCTCAGAGCTAACATTCAAGAGTGTCCAGTCAAAAGAGTACGAAAGTTCTTTATAGTGGATGAAAAAGACCCTCACTTAGGCCTTTTACCATGAGATTTTAATGCATTAGGCATCAAGAAAAGGTCTTAAAAACTTCCCAGAAAACAACCTGAATGTCCAACCTGAGTGAGATGAATGGATGAACAAAATGTACATATATACAATGGAATACTACTCTGCCAGTAGGAAAAGTGTTGGTCTATATATGCTACAATATGGATGGGGCTTGAAGATGTGCTGAGCCAATCACAAAAGGACAAATAATGTGTAACCTCATTTTTACAAAAGACAAGAAAAGGCATGTGTATAGAGACTAAAGTTCGTTAGTAGTTACCAGGGTCAGGAGGAAGACAGGAAAATGAGGTTATGGTGATTTAAAAAAAAAAAAAA